GTGCGAGGTAGACGGTGTTTGTCAGATTTTATTGATAAATGCTCTTGTTGAGCAATCATTCACAAAGACCACACGTTTTGGCACACATCTGCTCTGCAACTTTGGCGAAGCCCGGACTGTCGCATAGACCGGCGTTCTTTGGGCCGAAGCAGAACTGTTCGCCTCCTTCATCCTCACATGGCTGAAAAATGATGAAATCGCAGAAATGCGGATTTACTCGCAATCTCGAGCCTAAGGTATCATGTGCGTGTATGTTTAACATACCTCTTCTTTTTGCGCTTCGGCTGTGAAGGCGTTGAGGAGGAAAAGTGCGCAGAGAATGTAGAAGAACATATCGATATTCAGTGACCTGATGATGCTGAACGGCACCCGGCCCTATTTGTACCAACAAGGAAAGGAAATGTCGTTGTTGCCTTACCCTCTGCAGGTGTTTTCACAATGGAATATGTGGCCGAACATCTTCGCCATAGGCTCGAGGTTGATCGTGGAGTAAATCCACATTTCTGCAATTTCATCATTTTTCAGCCATGTGAGGATGAAGGAGGCGAACAGTTCTGTTTGGGCCCAAAGAACGCCGGTCTATGCGACAGTCCGGGCTTCGCCAAAGTTGCAGAGCAGATGTGTGCCAAAACGTGTGGTCTTTGTGAATGATTGCTCAACAAGAGCGTTCATCAATAAAATCTGAAAACCGCCGTCTACCTCGCACTTCCAGTGAGACCATATTTTTAAAATACTTCAAAAATTTCAAAAGACAGTGAATATCTAACAATCAGCATAGGACATGCGGTATACTTCCGACTGCCACCTGGATCGTCGATGTCTTCGAACGCGCCAGAAAGAATATTTGCGAGTTTTTAGAGTTTGGCTATTTTGAAGGTGCTGAGCTTATACAAAATCCCTCACCCTATTTTTATGAGTAACCCACACACAGACAGAGACCATCAGCTTCTTTCAATTGCTCTGACTTTCACCACCACCCATCTGTGTGCCCGTCCCATCGTGTATCACCACGTGAGAACCATTATTGCTACATTTGTTATGAGTAACCCACACACAGACAGGACTTAGACTTTTATATACAGTACGTTTCAACGTTTAAAGGCTTCCCTAAAACCCGCTGCTCTGAGGTGGAGACAACGGTTGTGGGTTGCTAGCAGCTCTATTTATTTCCTTTCATTTTCTTCGCTCTGAAAAACAGGTCACTTTCACAAGATTGCTTGGCTCTGAACAAAACATCGCCTCATAAGGAATGATCAAGTAGTTAGTCCGGCCATTTGTAATGAGGTGTAGTCCGATGCGTCTTGCGACGCTGAGCTCAAATCCGTTTTCGGTATCTGCGGAACGATTCTCTGAAGAAGTTACGAGGGATTCTTCTCACTGTGGCTTTCTCACTGTGGCGCCCTCTACATCCCCCTAAAGTCTTTCTTTTTTCTCTGTGCACACTGCGAAAAGCTAAACTGTTCAGATCACTCTATGAGGGGTCATCTTATGTGCTCGCAAGTTAGTGAAATTTTGTATAATTACTGGTCCCTCTTTGTGTTTTATTCCGTGCGTCAAAGTGTATATAACAAAAAAAAACTTGAAAATGTAGCATGAGAAGGAAATTCCCAAAGTCTTCCTCCTTCAGGTGTCAAGTCGGGACGTCAATAAAATACCCAATAACAAACGCTTTCTGGGCTCATATGAAGTGCACTGAAAAATTGCAAAAATTTGCCTGGCCCTGAATTCGAAAAAGGAAATTCAAATTTAAAAATTATTTCAAACACGATTATGTGACTTCACCCATTTGAATCTGGAACGCTACTGATACACCACCAGGTTCACTGTCATGACTGCTTTCTCTTAGCCCTGTTTGCGAGATGAGTGAGATAAGGGGATCTAGAGGGCGCCACAGTGGAAAGAACCCTTCGGAACTTTGTTCAGAGATCGTAAACGGATTTAAGCTCAGCGTGCAAGACGCGCGCATCGGACTACAACACATTACGAAGGCCAGACTGACCAAATGACTATTCCTTGTTAGCGAACCTTCTGAGTCCGTATCCGGAGCCCTATGGTCTCTTGTATGTATGAGCTTGATGTGTTGGCGACAATTATCCTTCCGATCCGAGTCTTCACACAAGAACGATTTATCAGAGTATTTTAACACATTGACGACATTGAGACGCGGTAACGCGTCTCACTTTGCGCACCTCGTTGGACATTGAGACGCGTTACCGCGTCTCACCCTTATCATCCCTTTTTCTAGGGCATGCGCAGCTTTTTCCCGAATTGTTTGTCTCTCTTCTATGGATTAGAACATAACATTATTGTGAACGACATAGGTCATTGTTTGTTCAAATATGCTCCAGTTTAGAAGAAGTTTTCCAAGCTCACCGAAACCGGCGGCTTGGTTCATTAATAGTTTTCATGCTATTCTCATGAACACGTCAATAAAAAAGGGTAGTGAAAGTAAATGCAAATCTAAAGAGACAGAAAAATACATGTTTCACTTGGTATAACCACATCAAAAGAGCTTTTGGCATCCACTACAGATAAAATGACTAAAGTTTCCTTTTTCATTACCATTACATGTTCTTTAATCGGAACTTCGTCACTATATACTCTATTACCTTCTACGCATTGACTGTTACTGAGATGTTTTTGTACCACTGGTGCTTTAAAAAGTTATCAATAAAAATTCACGGATCCGAGGTGCGGCGGTCGCACTCGCAAAATCGGCCCGGTCCCACACGGCCAAAAAAGCCAAAACGCGCGCGGTCGTCAATGTGTTAAAAATACACGCAATGACATGTCCTATCCTTGTTGGCACAAATAGGGCCGGGGGCCGGTCATCATCGTCAGGTCACTGAATATCGATATGTTAAATTGTCTGCGCACTTTTCCTCCTCAACGCCTTCACAGCCGAAGCGCAAAAGGAAACGGTATGTTAAGCGCAAAAGGAAACGGTATGTTAAGCATACATGCACATGATGCCGTAGGTTCGAGATTGCGAGTAAATCCACATTTCTGCGATTTCATCATTTTTCAGCCATGTGAGGATGAAGCAGGCGAACAGTTCTGTTTGGCTCCAAAGAACGCCTGGTCTATGCGACAGTCCGGGCTTCGCCAAAATTGCAGAGCAGATGTGTGCCAAACGTGTGGTATTTGTGAATGACTGCTCAACAAGAGCGTTCATCACTCAAATCTGACAAACACCGTCTACCTCTCATTTTCATTAAAACCGGATCTGTATTTCAGACATCGAATTTCCGAGGACAGTGAATATCTAATAATTAACGTATGACATGTAATGTAATGCACCATTCAAATCCTTGGTGCGGATGAAGTTCATGCTCAGCAGAACATGTCTTTCCTACAGACAGTTTATTTTATAAATATTTATGACTTCCGGCCCATTGTTGAACCATTCTCTCGAGAGAGCACTAATTTCAAATCCACTAGTCCTTGGAAGCTCGAAAGCGAATCCTTCGCATTTGAGTAGTTCTTGTCTGGCTATCCGTCCTTATAAGACGTGTGAAAAAGGCCTGTATACGGAAAACTGTATCGGGGAGTTTGTTACGCGTAAAAGCACTTCACATCAAGCTTTAGTAGAGGGCGGGCGTGCGCAGGAAGAAGCTCAAAGCTCAGTTATTTCCATTAGATTTCCATATATGAAAATTTCTTCATTTGCGAAATATGGCCCAATGAATTTGGTTTGAGCTTTTTAATACTCGAGAGAATTTTGTCCTTTAGTGTAGTAAATATGAAACTTTAGTGATATGTTCGTGGAAAGATGGAGCACGGAAATAGTAAATTAACCGAAGTAACTGAGAACATTCATTTCTGTCATGCAATCGATTTAGGTTACGTTTATCTCAAGTCATTACCAAATAGAGACGAAATTGCAAAAGACACAGAGGAACAAGTGAAGCTTATTACTGAAAGATTTGTGGTGAGAGCCTTAGAGATTATTTATTTTCTCCGCGAAAATAATGAGACTAATGAAAGAATAGCCGCTGAGAATTGGACTCTTTTAGAATATGACCATGTCGTTGGAATGGATGTCGATGACTTCTAGAAGGAAACTACGGAGCAAAGGTACTTATTCTGAT